TAAATGGAGAAAAACATGGATTTGGAAAAATCACATTTATAACAGGTGAAATCTATGAAGGAGAATTTGAATTTGATGATTTTAATGGAAAAGGAATATATGTATTTTTGACAGTAGATTTATCTAGAGATGGCAAGATGGTAGAGTATATGATGGAAATTGGGTTGATGGAAAAATGAATGGAAAAGGTACATTAACATGGCCTGATGGAAGATATTATGAAGGTGAATATATTAATGATTAAAAAAATGGTTTTGGTATATTCCAATTTGCTGATGGTCGTAAATATATTGGATTATGGAAATAAGGACTTTAACATGGATAAGGTGAATTTTTTAAAGGATAAGGGCAAGATCCAACCAGAGGTATTTGGAAATAAGGAAAACTAGTTAAACTACTATGATCTTAACTTGCTTATAATTTTTTTCTTCTTTTATTGAGAATCTATTTATGTAACAAATCATTTATAAGTTGTTAATTTCTTTAAATGTTTATGTTTATTTCAATAATCATAATTATCAGTCAACTTAATTATTGATAGAATGGTAAAATTATTGAAATAAATATATCAAAATATTATTTATATGTTTAATCGATAAGTCACATTCATATCCTTAATTGTATAATAATTGATTTAAGAAATTTAAATAAATAGAGAAGTTAAAATATATTTATTATTTATAAACTGAGTTTCTAATTATACAATTTAAGAGTGATTTATATTATATAAAGAACTTTGAAACCATGAAAAATTTTATATATTATTATAATCATGTTAATAATTTTCCCAAATTGATTTCATGAGTGTTCCAAATATTACCTAGTTTATTAATGTAACTCTAAGACGAGACTTCCAACATCATTATACAAATTCAAGAAGAATGCAAAATTGTTATTGATTTCACTTAATTAAGGAGAGAGCATTACAATGTATTATCAAAACAAGAAAAAGATCAAGCTGTATAAATGCTAGGACCAAATCCTTTGTTTGATGATTTTAAAAGGGTAAGTTAGACAGTGGGAACAACTATAAAAAATCTTAAAAGATGGTTATAATGTGGTACAGAAAGAAAAAAGGGCTGTGGTAGAAAAAAGCTTAATCCCTATGCTGAATAGTAGTTGATTGAATGGGTTATAGAAAAGGTTCAATAAACAGGTAAAAAGATCTCAAGATAAGAATTGAGATGTAAGGCATTAGAATTATTCAAAAATAATGATTTTTGTGCATCCAAAGGATTTCTAGATAAATTTGTGAAATCCTATTAATTAAAGCATAGGATGAAAGAGTAATTATTTTTAATTAAGAATAGAATATTATAAAGTATTGGGAAATTAAATACAAAGATATCCTCTAAAAAATAAAAATAGATATATACCAAAATAGAAGAAGAATTATAGGCAGAAACTGTAAAGAAAGAAGAAATAGATATAAAAATAGAAAATCTTACCATAGAACCTAATAAAAGCTGTTCAGCATTTTAAATTTAATGAATTTGTTTTATATTTTTAAATAATATCTCATTTCTATTTTTATTATGTTTTTGTATACACTTCCTTTAATTATTTGAAAAAATCTGTTGTTTCATATTTCTTTAAAATTAATCCTGGTATCTCTGATTATAAAAAGTCAGTAAACTTTACTTCAGGTATATCTGAATTTAATGATTTACTAAATAATATAATTCTAAAATAAATACTTTAAAATTGTTAAAGCAACACCTAGATCTTCCATTCTTCCAGTTCTTCCAACTCTTTGATTATATCTTCTAAGATCAAATTCACCATCAGGTTTGATTCTAGGAGCTCCATAATTAATAACCAATCTAACTTTTCTAAAATTCATTCCTCTACCCATTAAATCTGAACAAAACATTATTTTGTATACACTAAAAATATATATATTTATTTATCTACCCATTTTTAAAATCATCAACAATTTTTTATTAAGCTTTTCTCATTTCTTCAGCACTACCATAATCCATTATATTATCTTATATTATTTCACATAAACAATTTCCTTCAACTAAAAATTTTAATAAAGGATCATTCATTAATAATAATTTAGTTTCATGACATTTTGATTTAGCATTAAAAAATATCATTATTTATGCTTCTGAAAATGTTTTAAAAGTATCCTTTATAACTGATACCATTTATTTTAACATATCCTCTTCTTTATCAGCAGAACTATCATAATAATGATAAATGTTATCAAGTGTAATTTGAAAATCAAAATATTTAAATTTAAAAAATTCTTCATCACCTTATTTCTTTTCTCCTAATTATTTTATAAATAATTATTTTAATTCATTAACTTCCATTGTTGCACCACAAGATATTATTTTCCATCTTAAATTGTTAGATTCCAAAAATTTTGATATTATTTATATCACTTTCTGACTTTTATCATTTAATATTGTATTATCTGCTTCATCAACCACAATAAATCTTACATTTTTTAGATTTATTGTTTTTTTTTATATTAATTTTAGAATTGTTTATGGGACTCCACAAATAACATGACCCATTATAACACTTTCATCTTAACCTTTATCAAAATGTTGGACTTTCTATAATATTCAGAATTAATACAAATCCCTATTTCAATAAAATATCTGGAGTAGCGCCTATAAAGTCTTTTTAAATTTAAGCTAAGAGAGCATGAGTAGCAACCAAAATAATAGCAAATGGATAATATTGAACAGGCCCATCTTATTATGCCTAGTAATATTATTGAATATAATCTTAATCAAAGAAAAATATTATTGGCAATATAAAAGCTAATGTTTTGCCTGTTCCAGTAGGTGATTTGATATATACAAATCTTTCTTCTGTTTTTTCTTGTAAAAGAAAAGGTAAAACCATTTTTTAAATTGGAGCAGGCTTTAAATAATCTAGTAAGGAAATTTAAGATGATAATTACTTCCACTTTTAAGTTTGTCTCTCAATTCCTTAGTGAATTATTTTTACTGATTTGGAGCTAATTTTATTAGCAAATTTGACAAATCAAGCCAAGAATTAACTTAATCGACATATTCAAGGTTATCAATTTATTACATTAATATTATAATATAATTTTATGATAAAATCAATCAGTAACAGTAGCAAATGTTCTATAAATTTGTACATCTGTTAAGTTACGACTATGTCTTGCCATACTTATTCTTTTAAATTTATCAGCTAATTTAACTTTTTCACTATCTTTTTTTATTTATTCAATTTATTATTTGAGATTGAGAATTCTTTTAGGTGGACTAACAGGTTTAAATTATACCTGTAATTATTATTTAGATATTCTTTCTGTTTATGATTCATATTAACCTAAATCTTATGCTTTTGATTGATTAAGCTCAATAATTAAGAGATCACTTTTAACAAATCCTGTATAATTTACACCTCCAAAGATAAATAGTTTTTCATCAATGACAGTAGCTGAATGGCTACATCGTCCTAAACTAGAATGTCCTCTGATATCTAAATGACTCCATGTTAAATTCCTAATTTCTAAGATATGTAAATCATTCAAAAATCCTTAAGTATTTATATCATCATTTTTGCCACCATAAATTATAATTTATTATGACAATTCTACATATGACATTGAATGCTAACATCTACTAATTGGAGCTCTACCTTTTGGTTACACTTCTTCTATATAAATAGGTCTTCTTCTAACATCTATTTTTATAAGTTTATCTAAGTAATGTCCATTTGAATCTAAACCTCCAAATATATAAATGCCTTAATTCTCATAACTAATATCAGGATCATGTTTATAAAGATCAATTGTTTTATGTTCTAAAGCACAACAAGATTTATGAAATGCAATACCATCTTAAAATACTGGTGTATTAACTTCTACATTTTACCATCTTTATGTTAATATATCATAAGCAAGAAAATCATTTAAATAATGACCTTTTGAATCTATACCTCCTTAAACTAAAAGATATCTCCCAATAACTTCTGCTATATGTGCTTTTCTTGGAGATGCAATACCAGCATGTTGTACAATTTTCATATCATAATTTACTAAATTAATGTGAATAACTTCATTTGTAACTTCACAATGAATTCTATCTTCATTTTTCGGTGAAAATAAAACACCACCAAATATGATCAATTAACTTTTATATACATTTATTGTATGATAAGATCTACATTAAATTTATTACTTTAATTTTATCGTCATCCATTTATATAATTCTAATATAAATATAATTATACATTTATCTAGAGTTGCCTAACATAAATCACTCATATTTCCAGCTCCTGATCCACCAAAAAGATACAGTTTCTCATTATAATTAACCATGGCACTACTTTCCCTAGATGAAGGATTCCATCCATTGTTTTAATTATTGTAAATATAAACGACAATTTTCTTGACTTCATTAATTAATCGAGATTTAGTTTATTCAATTTATTATTAAATTAATTCAGTTTCCTAACGAACCAGTTCTTAACTACATCCCATCTATAATTATCTTTTAATCTATTATTAACGAAATTAATCCTTTGTTGAAATGGATGGATATGATTTTACTCCCTAAGTTTCAAGATGAATTTTTTGATATTCCTTATTTATTCCATCTATTTATAACTTTAACTGTATATCATTTTATTTCTTTATCCTATAATATGCATCTCTATTATGCAACAATTCCATTTTCTTTGAACTATTTTTATTTTCAATAGGACTTGCTGCAAATAAAGCTCTACTAAAATGATTCCACATAATCTTCGATTAATGAAGAGATCTTTATAACTCATCTATAGCATCTTAATTGAGTTGTTTGAATGGAATGAAATGAGTATTCTCACACTCAGGATGTTATTAAAGTAATTCTTATCCAGCTTCCTAAACAATCTATTAAAACTATTCAAGAGGAAGAGGACTCATAATAGCCTTTTTCTATTTATACTTCTCCAGAATATCAACTATTTTAAGAGAATTTTTAGGAGATGATTCTAAACTACTCATTTTATTATAATTAATATCATTTTTTCTTCTCCTACTATTATTATCCAACATTAAGATCTCTAAGAACAACTACTTGATTTGTTGCTCTATTATATTCCCAACCTCCAAAAATCAATATATGTGGACCAATTGAGGTTGCTGTATGACCATATCTATTTCTAGGAGCATTTCCTTCATATTTGGCTTTTTCCCAACACATTTTCTCAGTATTCAATACAATCAAGTAATCAATGTCTGGAGGAGTAGCAAAATTATTTTCACTAATAATATTTAAATAGAAAACCTTCTAGCTCCTGAATTTAAAGACCAACCTCCAAATACTACAATATCAGCTCCACTAACATTAGCTGAATGTCCATATCGTGGAGCAGGTGGAGTTCCACTTACTCTTAATCTACTCCATGCAAAATGTTCAGTATCGAGAATTCTAATATCATTTAAATAACAGCTTCTTAAATGTGATCCATGTCTTGGATTTGCTGTTTTATGTAATGTCTTTAGAGTTTTATCTTCTTAATAATAGAAACCTCCTTATATGATTAAGTTGGCTCCCACCTATATTGCTGTGTGTCCTTAACGAGGAGTGGGAGAAGGACCTGTACAGGGTGGTTAAGACCAAGCCATTACTTCTAAATCTAGAACATAAAGATCATTAAAATAATCAATTTCATTCCAACCTCCAAATATTATCATTTTTGTTGAGGCATACTATGATTTACTTATACTAAAATAATTACTAAAGTAGCCGAATGAGCAAATCTAGCACTTGGTGAACCAGATCCTTCAGGTCCCTAATACCATGTTAATGTCAATGGATCAAGAGCATGTAAATCTCTGAATACACATTTTTCTCCCTTTCCTCCAAATATAATTATTCTTTGTCCTGCCAAAACTGCAGAATGAGCATATCTGGGAGCAGGTGGAGTACCTTAAACTTTAGCTTTAAACCATCTATTTGCATTAACATCCATCTAATAAGTATCATTTAAGTATTTATATCCCTCATCTTTATTGGCATAATAATGTCCTCCAAACAATATAATAGAGGCTCCACTCAATGTTGCTGAATGACCACCTCTAGCACATGGTGGAACTCCCTCTATTAAAGGTTCTGCCCATTGCCATTTTCTTTAATCAAATGGTTGATATTTAAAGCCTATTTACTATAAAATTTTACTTTATTAATCATCCTATTGTTCTTCTGGCTGATATTCTTAATACTCTTCTTACTGTTACATATCTTATTCTTCATCATCATAATATTGTTATCCTTCCATATCAACGTCTTATCCATCTCCTTAATCCTAATCTTCATCATATTGTTCCATATTATTTCCAGAATATTATGAGTCCTCTCTACCTTCAGAATACATTTATTAAATTTAAATTATTATATAATAATTTTCCTCACAAAAATAATTCTTCTTCTCTTTTTATTAAATTGCTTGTAAGATCAATAAGATTAAGAACCTTATTTACATTATCTCCCCATTCTTATAAAACATCATTTTCATTCTTTTTTAACTAGTAATCAACTATACCCAAGATTCTATCAATTTTACATTTCAATAACTAATTTCAATTTTATTCTTATACCTTCTAATCCATCATTAAACATATTTCTTCTTCTAATTCTTAAGTACTAATACCAATTAATTCTGTTATTCTATTTAAATAAACTGAATCATAATAAATTTAAAATATTCTCAAATTATGATGAATCAATTATCTTCTAAAATCTATAAGTATATATTAATTTAAATACCAATATATCTTTGTTTATTATTTTCAATATTTTCATCAAATATCTCAGCAGCTTAAATGTTATGACTTTATGGTGAAGTACTAATTAATTCTGTTCCCAAAAAGGCTTAAATTAATTATTATAAATTAGGTAATGCTTCAAGACCATATTTATAAGTTGAAACTATGGATTACAATTGTTTTTCCTAAAATATATTTTACTAAATACTTTTTCTTCAGAGTATTAACTTAATATAGTATACATAGCATAATTTTCTAAAATTGTATTGTAATCAATTCTAAAATTGAAATCTACTTTGGTTGCTTCTAATTATCTATTTTTATGCAATGATTCAAGTATTTTTGAATAAGCATGAGCAGTTTCTTTATAATTATTTTCATGTCTATAATAAATAACTAAAAATGAGTAATATATAATTTTAAGATCTGCAATATTATCATCTTCTATGTTTTTAGGTTCTATCTTTTTAGATATAATGTATAATCTAACATAATCTAATTTTTTAATCATAATTTTCATTTGATAGAGTATAAATTCTAATTTTTCTCTTTTATCCATAGATCCATAGGTTTCAACCTAGACTTCTTATAATATTTTTGCAGCATCAGCAATTTAATTATCATCTTCTTTATATTAAGTAAGCATCAACACACATCGAGCATATTCTACTTCTAAGTAGATCTTCTTTTCACACACTTTCATAATTGCATCAATCATTTCTAATTTTTAATTTATTGGAAGAGTTTTTAATTCAACCATAGCCATTTAAACAAGTTCAATTTATGCTTTTTTTGGTTATCCTCTCTTTTTACTAAGTTATACTATTAATTCATTGAATTTTGAGTATTATTTAGTATCAAAACAGAGTTTAGCAATTTATTTAGTAATTTTCAATGTTTCAACTAAATTGTTAGCTAATCTAGCTGTCTTTTCTTTATTGAGAAGATCTTCTATTTGCTTATCGAATTCATTTTCTTCAATGATCATTTTTATTTAAATTTAATTTAATTAATACCAATCTGAATAAATTATATTAATAATAATCTATGAAGAAAAATAATCTATCTTTTTTCATCAGGAAAATTATTCATTAGTGATTAGACTACTAAAAATGAGAATATATTACAAGTATTAAGATTAACATCAAAATAATCTAATGTTCATTTGTTATGAATTTTTACAAAATAAAATTAGATAATTTTCAATAAATTAATTATATCTGAATTAATGAATAATATTTATAAGTTCTTAATGAAGAAGGAATATAATAATTATCAAAATTATGTAATATTTAAAATAATTCTTAATTATACTTATCATAGTAATTAACTAATCATTATTAATATTTGATTTTCTAATTAATAAAGCAATAAAACAAATTAATAGATATGTATATATTATTACATACATTTTGAGAAATAAAGTTAAAATCATTTTATTAAAAATTCCTATAACTCTTTCAAATATTGCATTGTTTATGAATATTGATCTTTTATGGTCTCTATTTCTTCAAATAAATTGTTAAAATAATCTTCACGAATAACCTAAGTAAATAAATAATTATATATAATACTTAATTCACAGACTATTATAATTAACTAAAGTCATTCATTTATTAATTTAATAGTTCATGAGTTCTTTGTAAATTATAAGTAAGATTGTCTGTTTTTTATTTCAATACTTCTACTTCTGTTAGATTGTCTTTTGAGGTTATTCGCTCAATTTTTTTTTAGATTTAGATTGAAACATCCAAAAAGGATTTTAATGATTAATCAACCTAATAATCCAATTTCATGATACATGCTAATTATATTCAATAATTCTTTTATCTGTTAAATTTTTATGGGATTAAAAGGCTTCATCTAACTGTTTCAATTTTAATTCAAATTTTCCTATTCTTTACAAAAGTAAAGTTAGTTTCTCTTAAATTCCATTAAAATAATCTGCACTTGATTTATTATTTTATTAATACTATCTATTAGTTTTTTCACTAAATAAAGTTAATATATACCTTAATTATAATCTTTCTTCTATTTATTCAAATCTCCTTTCAAATTCATTAAGCAACATAACCAAAGCTGAATCATTATTATTACTTTAATATTTAGAAGCATTATCTCTAACAGAATCATATGATTTTTTTTAGCATTCCTCCATGATGCTAGTCTTTTTTGAATTAAACCTGTCATTTTCAATAGATTATAAATTAAAAGATATGCTTTAATTTTAAGTTTTCATTGGAACTGCATTAGCCTCAATTGAATTAGTGAGTAAATATTAATCATTATAACTTTCATTTTAAGCTAATTATTTCTCGATTAATAGTAATTTCTCATCTAAAGTTTTGTTGTTCTAGTTCTGATTTTCTTTTTGAGTCCTTTTATTAATCATACGAAATTCATCAATGCTATTAGCTCTTTAATTTATTTTTGACATATTTGAATTTGAATACTTATTAATTAATAAAATCTCTAATATTAATTATTTAAAACACAAAATTATTCAGGCTATATACTTTAAAATTAAATTTGTTATTATAAAAAATAAAAAACTACATAAATTTGTTATTTAACAGGATGATAATAAATTGTAGTACATTTATTACATACAATTTAATATATAAAATATAAAAATCTCATTAAACTTTAGATATAAGTGATATGAATAAACTCTGATAAAATTTTTAATTATTTTAAGTTGAGAACTTGAATAAAATACATAATTAATTAAAGGTTTAAATCTTTAAATTAATTATTTCAAATAATAGTATTCTTCATTGATAAATAGTTTATTTTGTAAATTTTCATGTAAATAGGTCATTATTATTAGTAGTTAATAGATTTGGTAACAATATGGGTTTAAAAAAAAGCCATTTAGAATTATTAATTTAAAAGCTGTTACTCTAAAATACATATTTGATAAAAAAGATCATGTATTAAATAAAATCTAGTTTAAAAATAAATATAAATATTAATTATTTTTTTTTTAAAATCAATAAATGTAGATATAAAATACAAATAACGAAATATAATAGGGGAAACCTAAATAGATACAAATGGAAGTTTTGGATAATTTAATTTAGAAGAACCCGAAAGATATGCAAAAACCACTAGAAGAAATGCATGATTTCATGAAAAACTAGACTTTTAATTCTAAAGATTAAATAGCAGATCCAACACATCCAAAATAGGAAATAAAAATCTAGTCTTCAAAATTAAGGTAACTTAGAACATCTTCTGATCCTTAACTAGTTTGGGAATCTCATTAAAACACATCATTTATGAGTGAATTTTAAGACTTAATTTAGAAACGATTAAACGAAGTTAAGAGAAGCCCAAAAATATTTAAATACTATTGTAAAATTGGATTTCAAGTAATAATATATTTGTTAAACATACTTGAACTTTTCTTTACTTTAAGTTACGGTTTTTATAATAAAATTACTCTTAACTTAAGTTACTATTACTATTGTTATTATTTATCTATAGGTTTCTGTATTTTATTTCATATTGGAGCCTGGATTTACACTTATAAATTTAGGTAAATTACTAAAAAAAATATAATTGAAGAAATTACATACTATATCTACTATATGTTTATGGGAGTATTGAGTTATTTAAAAATAGCTCCTTTTATTTATTTTTAAAGTAGAGATAAATCAATTAAATAATTTTCATTTAGTGAAATTGACAAATATATATTTTTAACTTAGGATGATAAAAGAATATTTCCATGTAGACTTTTCAATAAAAGAAATAAACCTGTAAATATTTTTAGAGATTTAATATTTCATAGAGTTGCACTTCTTTCTATGATTATTACAATGGCTATTTAAACAATTCCTTAAATTTTTATTTAAGGATTTTATAACACAAAAAGATAGGCATGGGATAAATATAATACGATTAGTTTTATATTATTAATAATTAATTTTATCTATTACTTTTTGGAATTTTATATTATTGTNAAGGTTTAAATCTTTAAATTAATTATTTCAAATAATAGTATTCTTCATTGATAAATAGTTTATTTTGTAAATTTTCATGTAAATAGGTCATTATTATTAGTAGTTAATAGATTTGGTAACAATATGGGTTTAAAAAAAAGCCATTTAGAATTATTAATTTAAAAGCTGTTACTCTAAAATACATATTTGATAAAAAAGATCATGTATTAAATAAAATCTAGTTTAAAAATAAATATAAATATTAATTATTTTTTTTTTAAAATCAATAAATGTAGATATAAAATACAAATAACGAAATATAATAGGGGAAACCTAAATAGATACAAATGGAAGTTTTGGATAATTTAATTTAGAAGAACCCGAAAGATATGCAAAAACCACTAGAAGAAATGCATGATTTCATGAAAAACTAGACTTTTAATTCTAAAGATTAAATAGCAGATCCAACACATCCAAAATAGGAAATAAAAATCTAGTCTTCAAAATTAAGGTAACTTAGAACATCTTCTGATCCTTAACTAGTTTGGGAATCTCATTAAAACACATCATTTATGAGTGAATTTTAAGACTTAATTTAGAAACGATTAAACGAAGTTAAGAGAAGCCCAAAAATATTTAAATACTATTGTAAAATTGGATTTCAAGTAATAATATATTTGTTAAACATACTTGAACTTTTCTTTACTTTAAGTTACGGTTTTTATAATAAAATTACTCTTAACTTAAGTTACTATTACTATTGTTATTATTTATCTATAGGTTTCTGTATTTTATTTCATATTGGAGCCTGGATTTACACTTATAAATTTAGGTAAATTACTAAAAAAAATATAATTGAAGAAATTACATACTATATCTACTATATGTTTATGGGAGTATTGAGTTATTTAAAAATAGCTCCTTTTATTTATTTTTAAAGTAGAGATAAATCAATTAAATAATTTTCATTTAGTGAAATTGACAAATATATATTTTTAACTTAGGATGATAAAAGAATATTTCCATGTAGACTTTTCAATAAAAGAAATAAACCTGTAAATATTTTTAGAGATTTAATATTTCATAGAGTTGCACTTCTTTCTATGATTATTACAATGGCTATTTAAACAATTCCTTAAATTTTTATTTAAGGATTTTATAACACAAAAAGATAGGCATGGGATAAATATAATACGATTAGTTTTATATTATTAATAATTAATTTTATCTATTACTTTTTGGAATTTTATATTATTGTAAATACTTCATTCGGTAAATAAGTCCAAAAGTAAGTACAACTTAAATTGAATAAAATAAAATTAACATTGCTTTAAGAAACAAAACAATTATTAAAATCTGATTTATAATTTCTAAAATAAGTTGAATCTTATTATATACATATTAATCCAAGTACATTCAGCCCATATTAAAAGCAAAAATGTATGGTTGAAATAATTAGTTTCTTGTTAAAGTAAAGGAAATTTAAAAATATTGAATTTCATTATATTGATATTTATGATGAAGTTACTTTGTAATATTTAGCTAATTGTTTTCAATTCATTAAAGTGAAAGAAATAAGTCTTTTATATTATGATTAAAATAACCATAGTTTTTTATTCGATATTTTTCATAATTTTCCTAATATAATTTTACAACATTAAAACGAAGAAAATATTGGCGAATTATGGAATTACGATGTTATTGATCCAAATTCATAAAATGAGAAAGTAAGATAACTACAAAATATCGAAAATCCATCAAAAAATGCTGGTTTCTCATCTGTACAAAACATGAAAAATCTTAAAAATGAACCCAAATTTATCACTTAACATTTTTTAGTACTAAATCCAATAGGCCCATAGGGAATATTAAATCCCTAGATAGAAGAAATTAATATAATTGAGCTTGAAAAGCAAACAAGAATTCTTTAAAAAACATAAGAAAAACTAGAAACATCTTAAGATATTATCGATGAAGCAAGTACTCAAATTAATGCTATTACCAAAAGAGATTTATTTGAAGATTAATATTGGAAAAGTAATATTTTAATGAAAATGTATGATTATTATTAAGGCATAAGAATATCAAAATAGTTGCGATAAGCTTATCGATTAATTTTATCATTATTAAATATTTCCTTATAAATTATTTCTCTTATCTATTTAATTAATGATGGTGATATTTATTAAATAGCATTAATAGTTTTAACTGTATTCAATCTATTATTAAGAACATTATCTTAAATGGTAATTTAGATTTTTTCAATTAACAAACTTTCATTTTTAAGTTATTTTTTAGCTTATGTACTGTTAATAATATTTGACTATTTTTAATTATGGGATTTAATGGGGTTTTGTTTTAAGATAACGCCTAAGAATTCTAGAAAATAATTCAAAAAAAAAAATCAGAGAGATTTTAGTTATGAAGTATACTTTAAGTTCAGGAGCTATGCCTTATAATTTTAAGGCGGTTTAGCTTCTACTATATTTAATAATAAAACTGTAGCATCTCAAAAATATTTATTTAAATATATGCCTATTTTATAAATTATGACATGGAGATCAGATGTACTTGAAGCTTTGAATAGAACTCCTTAGTTTATTATTTACATCTTATCATTATCATCTTAAGTATTAACTGAAATTTGGATTTTATCTTTTTTTCAACAATTAAAAGGTAGTATATTTGCAATAAAAGAAATACTAGATAATGTTATTAAAGACTATTTTATTCCAGCTTTGCTTTTAAGAACAGTTTCAGTGGATTAATTCTTTTAATCTATTTTTTATCTTGGCTCAATATCAAATTAAATAATATTTGAAGATCCTAAATCTTTTTAAATACTTTCCAAAGTTAAAGAGTAGTATTTTAAAGAATAATTAGTATTTAAAATTAATGTTTAAAACATTGATTTTTCTAATTATAAAGGTTTAAAAAAATAAAAAATGCTAGCTTAGTTTAGATATGTTCTTGCTTAAATAACAAGTATTCTAGAAATTGATTAAGCATAAAGGTTATTTTTTATGGGACCTGAATTATATGATTTAATAAGATGCTTAAAAGTTAGTCCTTTGTATTAATTAAAATTGAATTATTATTTAGATGAATTATAACCCACCCAAATTACTTATATTAATGGATTTATAAAAAATTGTCCAAAAAAATTACAATTTTTATAAATCTAGGTAGAATCATCAAAAGTACATTAAATGGAATTTTTTGTTGAAAGATAGGAAACTCTAAAAGCATTTTCATTTTCTTATTTCTAAATAATACAATAATAAAAAAATACGGCTACAATAGTTTAATAAGAGAACCTGAATTTAGATAAGGATTTTTTAAAATTAGATAGGTATGATTTTGAACAATTTTATTTTGAAGTTTTTGGTAATCTTATTTTAACTAATTGCCATTAGCTATTTTAATAGTTCACCTAATTGAAAGAGTTCAAGGTATCGATTATTAATAATGTGCACATTCAAAATTTTTTATTTTCTAGCAATTTAGCAAGTAAAGAATTGGAAATTTTGGATGTTACTTTTGAATGTATTAGATTAGATTTTTAGAACTACCTTTTTAATAACTTAAAAATTATTAAAATGATTTTGAAAATGTGCGAATTCAACAAAGAAAATTTGAAGAATATTTTAGAAGGTTTAAATGATACTACAAAAGAGGTTTATATAGATATGTCATAATGTTTATGTACGTTTACATAAATTGAATAGATACAATTAGTAAGATTATTAGAAAGTAAAAAAATAGATGTTAACATAAAGATTTGAATTATTTTCTTAAAGATTAGATTAAATTAATTTCTATTGATTTTTTTATTTTCATTTTTGAATTCAAATTTAATTATAATAAACTAAGTATTTAAAATTTAGTAAATAAATTATAGTCTTGTATAACAATTTTATATACTGGAATGATTTATATTATTTATTAATAAGATTCTTATTTTATACTTAATGTATATTAGTAATATATTTGATTATTTTTAGATTCACATAAAGTTTATTGATTTAACATGGCAAAAAAGATGATGTAGCAAGTCATATGAATCCAAAATTGGTGTTAAAAGAGGGTTAACAAAGATAAGAGTATTATTAGTAATATAGCATTAATGATTAAATATTTTATTGTTTGTATTAGATGGTGAATAATGTATTACAAAGTTTTATTAAATTTAAAACTTAATAATAATATAAATTATTGTTAGAATTAATTTTAAATTTCTACATCATGTCCCTTAAATCTCAAAGAAGCAAATCAAAGTAAACATAAAACTAGACTCTTGATACTAGTTATTAGAATAAGAGTCATAGTGATAAACGTACTAGCAGATTTTTAGCTAGCTTAGAGTTAAATAATGAAAACTCAAATTCAAACTCTAAATAAGATAATCCTGAAAAAGCATTCTTGTATTTGTAATTTTAATTTTGCAAGCATATTATTGGATGCATGCTCAGAACTTGTACAATTACATAATGATACCCATAAATAAGAAATTGATTAAGCTATTAAATAAAATTAAACATTTGAATAAGTTGCAATTATTGTTCATTCAAAATTATAATTACTAAAAAGAGATTATGTTACAAGTGAATATTAATTGATTTAATTAAAAGAATCTATAATCTCAAAATAATAACAATAAAATTAATAAAATACATTTGATTTATATTAAAAATTACATGATTAGAATTAAAGATGGAAATAACTATATTTTTAAGAGGCTAGATAACTTATTGAAGTAACTAAATAATAAAAATAATTTACAATTGAACTATAATAATAATTAGAATATATAAATATACTAGAATTGAAATAGGAAACTTTAGAATAAAAATATTTAGAATTATTTGAATTAATTCATAGTTCAAATTAGAATTAAAATATTGATATTAAAAAATATTGCAATACATTATAATAAGCACTAAATGATAAAACTGAATTATTATCAGTTTAATTATAAAATTCTAGAAAGCAATGTATAGATTTATCTAAAAGGCTTTAGGATGAAATAATGAAAGTAATTTCATAATATTATTAATTATAGGTTTAAGCTGCCCAAGAACTCAGAATTGTTGACATGTAGTATATAATGAGTTTAGAAAATAGTATTGATTAAAATAATTGATAAGATTCCATTAGTTTTTATTTTTTTTATTTTGTATATATTTCTATCATTAAAATCTATAAATTTTAAAAATTAATATTAAATAATTAGAAACAAATCTTTAGACCTAAGTCAAATAAATTACAATAAGGTTTTGAAGTATTAGAATATCCTTTTAATTTAATAAATTAATTTGGAAAAATGAAAATTAAATTATTAAATGTTCATTTGAGTCATTTTATTTAATTACTTATCTTTTGTATAAAAGATAACATTTATAACATTAAATATTAATTATCATTTTTATTTTAAATTCATATATATAACAAGAAAGATCAAGAATTATAAAGACAATATTATAATTTATATCAACTTAATTAATACTTTTAATTAGAGCAAGATTAAAAAAATCAACTATTATTATCAAAGTAAATATTCAAAGTCAAAATAAATTTATACCTTTGATAATATATTAAATCAAACATTAAATAAATCATAATTGAATCTAACCCTTTTATATGAATTAGAGATAAAAAATGAAAATATATTGCAAACGCCAATTTTTATTATATAAATTTATAACAATCAGTGTTTTAAGTGAGTTAGAAATAATGTAAAATTTAAATAATGATTAAAACTAAAATTTAAAAGATAATAAAAATAAATCATATGAATCTAACAGAAATATATCTCAATAAATTTCTCAAATCAAGTGCTCAAGCACCACAATAAATAAATTATCTATTAAAGTAATTTATAATTAATCAAGATTTTTATTAAAGATAATGTTAATTCCAATTTGTTTGCATTTATTTGTTCTTCATTGAAATAAAAGAATCATTTTTGAATGACTTCTTAGATGAGAACTTTTCTATATATTATAGATTAAATAAATTACAATAAAATCATCTAGGTTAATAGAGTACAATATATTTAGATTTAACCTTTAAGAGATAATATATATTTAATTCTATTAATTTATTAAATTTGCTATAGAATAAAAATAGATGTCTCATTTGAGAGGATTAGTTTATTGATTTTAAATATGATTATGTAGATATAATATATATCTTAATTAATATTAATATATTATTTAGTAATCATGACGCAAGTACAAATTGGTGCATAATTTTCATTATACAAATTAATAATATAAATTTTGAAATTTAGATATGTAATAGATTTCCCCTGAGGTTGAGCAATATCTCTCTGAATTATTGAAGCCTGTTCTAGAAAGAGTGGATGAATTAAAAATAAGAGATCAATAAAATGAAGACTAAATCAATTCTCTAGTTTAAGAATTGACTTAGTTAAAATAATTAGTTAGCTCTCTAAAGCCTATAAAATAAGAGGATGAGAAAAGTACATTTAATAATAAATTTTATTAGAACAAATAAAGCAAGAATAAAAGAAAGATAATAATGGAAATCATGGTAAGCAATATTATTATAAATTCAAATTAATTAGAAAACAAAAAACAGGATCGTCCTACAACTGCTGTTGTCTAAAAGAATGAATAAAATAAAGTAAAAGAGCCTAGACCTTAAACTGGTCTAAAGCCATTGAGTTAAAGTGTCATCGTAGATAAAACATCTTCAAATGAAATAGATAAAGGTATTATAATTCCCAAATCATCTAGCACCTTTGAAATCTCCTAGAGATTCAACATAAAAGCAACCAAAACCCTAAGGATAACAATAATAACAACCTCCTTAACCTAAATCAAAACCTTAAAAATAACCTGAATAGAAAGATACAAAAGATTAAAAAGATTCTAAACCTTAAGGTTAAGGTAATATAAAAGATAATTTAGTAGAATAACCTTAAAAATAAGCTTAGCTTTAAAAAGATGAAAAAAAAGTAGAAAAGCCAAAATAAACTAAATAAAATCCTCCAGTTCAAGCAGAGAAGACTGATAAGCCAAAAGATGTTACTAAAAAGACAGATAAACCATAAGATTAAAAAGCCAATGGATCATAAAAAAACCAAACAAAATAAAATGATAAAAAGGCAGAACCAAAATAAGAGGATAAGAAAATAGTAAAAAAAACAAAATAACCAACAGGCCAAACTGGAGATTAATAATAAACTGATGAACAATTTCAATAATAATAATAATAAGCTTCTTAAGTGAGTTAAGAATAATAATCTGCTGAGAAATCATTAAAAGAAAATTATTCAGAATAAAATGAATAATAACCAGATAATCATTCTGAACATACAAACAATGTATAAGAAGTTGACTAACCCCCATAAGAATAACATTAGGAGGAATAAAATTAATTTTCAAATCAAGAGTAAAAAGAAGAATAACATTAATAACCAGAAAATTAGAATTAGGATGATAATTAACCTAAAGAGGAGTCATAAAGTTAATAATAAGAAGTAATTTGAGCTTATTTATATTATAAGTGCAAAAATATAATGTATAAATATTATAATAAATAACTAATTTGATCAACTGAAATGTCAAGTCAAAACTAAATTACTAGATTTAAAGAATAAGAGGATTTAATGGATATAAAATAAGAAGTAAGATTAAATAATGAATTAGTTTATGAGAAGAATCAATAAAAATCATATGAAAATGGAATTATCTGAAAGAAAACATAATGATGGCTCTTTAGAAAAATCAGTTAAATTGACTCCCATGACAACAGGAGATTATATAGGAATATGGGCAATTGCTATATTAAAAAGCTTTTTTTTAATATGCTTTCTTTTGATGGTTTATGAAATATATAAAGATATTTAAGCGCACATTGATATTTCAAAAACTTAGATTTTAATTGAAATGAAAAATTGTTCTGCTGAATATGAACAAAATTTATGTTCAGAAAATTACTTAATAGAATCAATGGCTCAAAAATGTAAAGAATTAGAAATTTGTATTAACTAAAATATTGAAATGAAAGTGAGAACATAATAACTTTGGTTATAAGTTTTAGGAAATTCATTTGAAAATATGTTCAAGACACTTTCTCTTAAAACTTGTGTCATGATCTCCTTTATAAGTATAGTAACTAGTATTATTTTTATCAAAAACTGAGTGATTTATTTCTTAATATTATTAATAATATAAAATATATAATAGATTGTGTTGGCGGCATATTTATTTTAATAATGTTGAATTTATTTTATTTGAAATATAATATATAATAAGTTAATCTCTTTCTATTTTTTTCCATTTTAACAACCTAATATATTTATTATTTTATAATAAATTATAAAATATTATATATAATAACTTTTGCAATTCCTTAAATTTTTATTGAATCTGTATCAAATAATTCAACAATTATTTTAAACATCTAAAATTGTGATAATTTAATAATTATAATTAAATTGCATTTTGAATAATACAATACAATTCATTATTATTTATAATATATTAGCGTTTAAATGTATGTATTTTATCAAACAAATTGCTTTATATAATTTCTATAAGGCAAACTTGGTCTTCTGACACTATGACATAGCAATAAACTTGCTGTTAATACATTTAAAGCATTAAATTAATGGATACTACCAGAATGTACTTAAACCTAGTATAACAATTAAAAGTTACTTAATTGAGTAATGCTACAACTCCTGTAAGTAATTAATAATTAAGAACTCCATAAAGGGCATAACATATATATCTAGCTTATTTAGGTAGATTACTCTTATAAGCGAGATAAGTAATATAAGATCCAAATGCATAAGTTAAATATGCTGCATTTCTATGATTGAATTATACCCTATATTTATTAATTAATATTATTACATCACTACATTTTCAAAAAAGTTTTTATAAAATGGTGAGGCTTTAAATAAATTGGCTGGAACTATTTATCCATTCATAGTAGGCCATGTATTAAAAACCTTTCCTGCATCTATACCTGCCATAGCTGCTCCAGTTAATAAATTAATAGCTACTAAATGAATCAAACCAATTCCAAGTCCTCTAAATTTAAGATGAGTTTTATAATTTTCTGGAGTTATTTATAAATGTTAAGGTTTTTTAAAAAGAGTAGCAGCATTCCAAATTAAAAGAGAATATAATGATAAAGCCATAGATAAATGTACGGTAAGTCTATAAGTTGATACTCTTGGTTTTTGTTAATATTCAGGTTTAGGACGATCTAATCCTGATTTGACCATCCACCATCCAATTAATCCTTATAATAATCCAAGTCCACCTATGGCTCCTAGTCTTTTTGCATATTATGGTTTAATCCATTTCATTGCTGTAAATGCAGCTAAAGGTAAAACATAAATAGCTCCCAAAGTTGATCCAGATACTCTATGTAAATATTCAACAATAAAGATTTTCTTGAATTTATCTAAATCAATAGGAGTATGTTAATATTCTGGAAATTGTTTGTAATAATCAAATTCCTTTTCCCAATCAGTTTGATTTCTTGGATATGTATATTCTATGGGTTTCCATTTTGTCATTGATAATCCTAAAATAGTATTTCAATAAATACTTACCTGAATGAGTAAGTCTAGTGTAACCTCCTAATAAAACCATAAAATAAACTCCACCTGCACAAAGAAGTAACCATCCACCTAATAACCATCTTTTTGATGGATCTACCCATTCATTGACAGGGTCTTCAAAATGAGCATTTCTGTCAAATTTTGCATTCTTAGCAGCTTCAGCATTAGAAAATTTATAGTATCTATTATTTTGTAAAGGCTTTAAAGTTGTGGTTAAGTTTTTGAATGTTCTTATTCTTGACAATAGCATTAAAAATGATATAAAATTATAAATAATGAATAGATATGTATTAATATTATAAAATTAATTATGGACGAGCCAAACGAATAAGAAATAGATGAACTTTAAAATTAATACTTCTAAGATAAGATGTTTAGAGTTTGTGCTAAAGCTGTTATTAATGATGATGCATATTTTAATAGATTATATGAACCTGATTATTTGCAAGGTTTAGCTGATAGAGCAAAAGATTAAAAAGAGAAGAATGATATTCTTAATTAAAAGAAAAAAGTAGAAAACAATTAAAACAAAGTAAAAGAGATGTTTTATTAATGCTTTAATCGATATTTCTATGTTTATGGAGTTTTACAATAAGTAGCCCATGCAGATGATGATTGAAAATCAAATAAAAATATTAATAATTTAATTAAAGCTTCAAAATCATTAAAAATACAATACAATATTCTTAAATTTTATAAGTATTATTTTAATTTCATATTATATATATATTAGAATATATATAAATTATGTTATAATTTGAGATAATATCAAAGTTGTTTCTTTCAAATTAATTATATTTCTCAAATTTATTAATTGAGTAGTAATTAGTTAACTTTTATTTTCTTTACAATTTAATTTTATTAAAAGCCTATATAAAACATATTTTCTCGAGGTGCTATAATATATATAAATACTTTTACTTTTGGATTAGGTTCCAGGTGTATTTTATGATTGATTTTCATTAAATTTAATAACAGAAGAACTTCGTTTTATTTATTACCTTGAATCAGGTTTCAGATTTTGGAAATTAGACAAAACTGTTTTGTTCATAATTAAATCTTTTTTTTATTCAATCTATATTTTACTATTTTCTTATTATTATGGAATATTAAATTAAAATAATATTTGAGCAGTGTTAGGTTTTAAATGTTCTGATTTAGAAGAAGTGTTATTTCTATTGATTTATCTAGTTTGTGATTTGCGTAAACATAAAGATTTTTATTAATTTTATTATGCTTAAATTTTGTGTTGAGCTTTTTAAAGTAGGATTTATGAATCAAATATATTAGAATCTACATAATGTAATGAAATTGAATTTTAACTTCTTTATAATTATGTGGAATCTTATTTTTTTTTTATTTTGATATTTTTTTATCTGAAATATTGTTAAATGAATGTAGGCATTTTCTTATAAGATAAATTACTAATAATAAATTACATATGATCATCAATTGTTTAACATTATTAATCTTAAGAGGATGATTATTATTTTTTTATAACTTTAAAAGAAATAGATTTCTTAATATCTTAATTTAAAATTTAAGATTTATTAGTGTTTTACCAATATTTTTCCAATTCTTAACATTTTTCTTTATAAATTTCTTCTCTTAAAGCTTAGTTCTCAATTGATATTTTATAAATTGCTTAATATACTTATTGACTAATCTACTATAATTATTATATAGATATCATTAATAAAGTTGCTGTTTTTGATGCTACTTAAACATTATATAAGGCTTTATCACATTATATAAATTCTTCACCTATAAATCCTTAATCTATCAATTTTCCTAATATAATATCATCAAACCAAAATTTTTTTGGCAAAATCAATTTTTCATATTAAGAAAGAGTTTTTTAGTAAATTTTGCTAACAATTAAAATACCATGTTAGAGAATAAATAAAGAACTACTAGTATCATCCATTTTTAATACAAAATCCTTATTACCAAACTTAACCTCTTGAAATCCTTTAATAAGTTAATCTTTAATTCTATAGTTCACTTTTTCAAGGATGGGTAAATTGGATATTAATGTTTTTAATTTTAATTGAAACATTTAACTATGGCATGCAGTTAATCTCTTATAGATACTCAAGGGTAATGTGAAACAATGGGTTTCTGTCTAAGTTAGAGTATTTGAGTTACTTAAGCTTCAAATGCAATTTCGCCTTCGTACCACATATCTGCTTGAATTTCTAAGTTTTCATATGTTTTAAGAATCCCTTTAATCACAAAGTAAGCCATATTATTATTTTTTTGAACATTTTGGCCTTTTTCAAAATATGCATACCCAATTCTTTTACTTATCTAATTATAAGTATATACATATTACATCTTTTATAATTTCATATGGAGCCTGAAATTGATGTAATTGACTTAAGTAATCATGTATGATAGAGATATCTTCTTAAGTTTTCTACTATTTAATTAGTTTTGGAATTAAATGCATATATTTAAGAATCTTAGCAAAATAACTAAATATACTAATATATATCCATTAAATTTCTTTAAATTGAGTATATTTTTTGATTTCTTTAAGTGAAATGTTTAACGGACATAAAGTATAAAATAACCTTATTTAAATCTTAATATAGTAGGATTAAATAATAAAACATAGTGTTATATAATTTGGATGGAGATTTAATGGATAAAAAATATATAATAATTCATTTAATAGAATAATTATTTGATAATTGAATTTAGGAAATTTAGATTTGAATAAGATATATGTCAAGTTAAGATAAATCAAATCTAGGTAGACTTTCTTAATAAAATATAATTGCTCATATTTTACAATATATTTTCTTGTAAAATAATTTTATAGATTCTTATTAATACTCTACTTTTTTATGTTCGTAATTTTTATGATCTTGTTTTAGATGTTTTGAATTATTGTAAATTGAATCTAATTTCAATTCTGTATGAGAAGCCAATGATGAATTATCATCTTCCCAACATTCTTTACATTTTACTATCTTCATTTAGTGTTTCTAGGTTGGTAAAAGTATACCATTTCGAATTAGTCTAAAATATTAGCAAATATTTGGTTTACATTTGACTTGGAACTCTACAAAGAATTCCAGTTTAAAGATTAGGATCTTAAGAATTAGATTTTAGATGTTCAAGCTTTGACTCTAATTCATTTAAAGGTAATTTTCTAACTGTAATTTTTTATCTAGGTGATTAAGCCACAGAAGAGGGATTTGATTTTTTTTCTGCTTTAATTTAAGGAGGAATAGTAGTTTTAATTAATTATTATGAAGAAAGGAATTATAAGGTTCCTCTTTATTTAGGTGTGCTTTCATCTTTGAATTATTGAACATGAACTGAATGATCAAATATTTATGATGAACTATGCTTTGTTCTATTAGATTTACTAGAACGTTTAGATTCAATTACTTCATCTATTTCAACAGATTTAGAAATTCTGTCTGAAATTTTTAATTCAGCACACATTCTTAATAAATTTAAAGGCTTTTAAATAGGTCTAAATTTTAAGAATGATAGTTCAGTATTTCTACTTTTAAGAAGTGAAAGAAACTTCTTCTTACTATGTTGAAGAACTTATTATTTTTATTGAAATAATTATTTCTCATCTATTATTTTTTACTTTTCTTTTTATTTGACTAAAGTCTTTAAGTAATTGTTTCTTTAAGCAGTTGTTTTTAGAAATCTATAATAACAATAGATATTACCTTAATGTATCACCAATGAGCTTTGTTTCAATTTTTGGGATTGAATTTTATTAATTCATTTTATAATAATGGACAATGAATTAATAGATATACCAATTGATTATGATGAACCAAAGTTAGAATCATAAGAATCATATTAAGGATCATAAGAAGCAGTGTCTCAAATTATATCTGCAACTCCCACTAGAAATCAAAGTGAAATCAATTAAAAGTAAAGCATTCATACAATCACTTTTCATTTAACTGAGTAAGTCTAATAAAGTTACACATAATATTATGAAAATATTTCATATGTCTTATGGAGTTAAATTAATGATGAACCGGCTTAAACGGTAAATCGTAAATATACTCATTTTGAATGGCTTAATGGAGCATTAAAACGAGAGTTTCCAGGATTACTTATTCCAGCTATTCCACCAAAAAGTGTTTTAGCAAAAATTAATTTAACTGAACATACAACTTTAGTTAGAGAGAAACGATATAAAGTATAATTATGATAATTGATTTTAGCAATTAGAAGAATTTTTAAACAAAATAAAAGATCATCCTTAATTGTAAGTTAGTAATAAATTTCAAATATTTCTTACAGGATCTTCAGAAGTATAATTTATTATATTTATTCAGATTATGTAATAAGAACTCTTAGAATTATCCTAATATCAAACTTATGCTCATTAATTAGGATCAGCTATTGCAAATGCTGGATCAAAAGCTTATGATATTGCCAAAGGATCTTTTAATTATTTAAGTAGTTTTATCTACACTGGATAATAGAATTCTCAAAAATAATTGTAATATCCTGAATTAGAAATTTAATAAGACATAAAAGAATTTTTTGAAAGTTGGGAAGATGTATATTATATATAAGTAAGCTATTTAGTTATTGATTGAAGAATAATAAAAAGTTAAAAGAATATTTGAATAATACTAAAATATTGTCAATATTAAATAAGAATAAAATGAAGATACTAAGAAAGTGATAAGTTCTTTGAAGGAACTTGATCTCTCTTCATTGGAGAAGGATATTAATAAAACTGAAGCAAGTTGTTACCTTAATGAAAGCATCTTAAATGAAATTAAGTTGAGTGTCATCTTCAAATTAGAGGTTAGTATTTTATTTTTAAATAGCTCTGCATACTAGATTTAGATGAAGCTATTGGAACAATTAAGAGAAGATCTGAATTGATATATCAAATTTAATAATAAATCAAAATGCACAATCAAATTGAATCTTTTAATGGTATTATGATTTATTAATTCAAGAAAAAATATAATATAAAGAATAAATTAGAGAAAATTAAAAATTACTTAAAATAATTGAAACTAATTTTTAGACTGATATTAAGATATTTGCAAATTGGCTTAACAAATATTTAGAATAATTGATTAGATATTACAATGAATAGTTTTAAAAATTATATAGAGAATAAAACAAAAATTGGAATGATTGATTATATTTATTATTATGAATATTAGATAATTAGATAATATCATTTCATGGCTTCTTTCTAAATTTAAATCTTCACCTTATAGATGGAATGAATAATAAGTGCATTCCTTTTGTGAATCAGTTGGATTGTAATGGGCTGTATCAATTATTACTGTAAATGATTTCATCAATATTTAGATATAAACTGCTCCAAAATAAAGGTCTTATAATAACTAGGAAGAGAAACCCTAAACAAATAAATTATAAATACCTTTGTTAGATGCCTGTACAAGATAGTATGAAGAAATATTAGAATTATGTAATGCTCAAAGTATTTATAAATTGATAAGTCATTCAATGGATATAAACCTTTATTATTAAATCTAGAAATTAAAAATATGGTCCCTCATAGTCTTGAAATATCAACATTATAGAGAAATATTCAAGAAACATTATGGATCCAAATTATTTTCATAGTCAAAATGTAAAGGTTGTACTGCTGAAATCAGTTGTGCATGTTAAATATTAAATAATTTGTTATATGAAATAGAAATCTATATTAAGAGTATTTATGAACTTCCTAGTACTCAAAGTCAAAATAGAAGAACATCTATGTACATAAGTTCAGACATTATAAATTTATTATTAAAATCTATTTCTCATTTACCTTCATATGATTAATAACCTTTATTTTGGGATATGGATGATATAAAAGTTCTATTACATGTAATTAAATTTCAAGATTATTATCAATTATTATTTTAAAATTAAATTGATGGATTTGTTTTACTATTATTAGTCAATCCACCTTTTAAGGGTGATAATTTATTTCTAAAATGTTTATTGATGAGTTAACAAAACTTTTCACAAAAGCCATAAAACTTATTATATCAAAATAGGTAAAGTATGGTAAGAAATACCATGTAGACTGCTAGCAAATATCATTAAATAAATTAATTTCTTCATTTATTACATTATCTATTACAAATATTAAGCTTAGCTGCTTATAAAAATTAGGAATCTTATACAGAATATAAGCATTTAGGATAAAGAAAAGTAAGTCAAATTAGATGGATATCTTTATATTATTTTACAAAAGACACATAAGTAGGATATGGAAATAGAAAATCAACACTTACTGAATAATTTAAGAGATCAACTAAATCATATGGCAATGTAGAACAATAAATAAAAAACAGAAATAAAACAGAGACTTTAGATCAATTAGAACTTAAATTAATGGTAACTGATCAAAGTTTAGAATATATAAAAAAATAGTTTAGTCATCCAAATGTTACTCATTCAGCAGCAACTTCACCTTATGTTTAAAAAGATTAAAATTGGATCAAATCTAAAACTTAAATTGTAAATTAATTTAATGTAGAAGATAATATTCATAGAAGTAGTTCATTTTTGATGTATTATTTTATAATTATTTTAGATCAGATAATGATATCTTAATACAAGAGCAAGAAAGGGATAGATAAAATACAGAAACCCATGTTTAATTTGAAGAAGAAATATTATCAGGTGGTAATGTTAATCAATCATAAGAAGAATAATCATAATAATTATCCAATTAAGAAGAAGAATTATAAGAAATTAATGATTAAATGCAGGAATCAGTGGCATTTATGGCATAATCAGTATTAATTTAATAATAATCTTAAATATTATAATAATAATAATAATAGTAATAGTAATAATAATAATAATAATAATAATAATAATAATAATAATAATAATAATAATCAGAATAATCAGAATAAGTTATGTGTGAATCAGTTATTTTAGGCTAATCTAGTGGTATGCAATAATCTACCATCATGCAATAATCTACCATTATGCAATAATCTGTAATGATGTAATAATCTACAATAATGTAATAATCTACAATAATGTAATAATCAACACTTCTAGATAAATCAATCTAAATACAATAAATTATTGAATAATAAGATAATTAACGAGTAGAGTACTTATTATAAAATAATTTTTTAGATTTAATTCTAGAGATCAATCAAAGAATAGGTATTAAAAAGAATAGAAAAATTAACTTTTCAACCATTATTTGATTTATTTTAACTTTAATAATAAACTCATTTAAAATTGAAATGTGATGAATAATAAAAAGTAAAAATATATTTTTTAAGAATTAGTTAAAAGTTGTTAACATTTAAGGAGCAAGTTTTGGTAGAAATGAAGATTGCACATTTGCATTTACAGACCATTCTAAAATAAGTAGCAAACATTGCTAAATATATTATAAAGATAGTAATATTTATAAATAAGTTGACAGAAGCATTTTACCTAATTGATGTAGGATCAAAAGGTGGTACTTTTGTAAAAATAAACCATAATTTTGTAATTGAAAGGGATATGTCAGTCTATATTGGCAATCGATTTGCATTTAAAATAATTGATATTAACACAGAGACAGGATTTTTGGAAGTGAGATATGAGTATGAAGGGACAGCAAAGCATAAATAAATATAACTAAAAAGAGGAGATAAATTTTTGATAGGAAGAGAAAGATCTAAAAATAATTTTACATTTATGCATTCTTAGTAAATTTTTATTTTAAATAATTTTAGATGTAATAAATTAATGAGTGCAAAACATATGGAAATTTATTATGATTATAATTTTAAGGCTGGATCAGTTAAATTAATGATAAATGATTTGGAAAGTAAAAATGGAACTTGGTTACGATTAAGTGAAAAATAAGTTATTAGTGCACCATTTCATTTATAGAAAGGAATTAAATTTAATTTATCATTTGAATTGATGTTTGATGTCTTTGAAATGATATGTGATGTATGATTAATGATTTATGAATAATTACAAATTAATATAATTATGAATTAGAAATTAGAAATTATTGGAAGAAAATTAGTTGTAGTGATTGCAGCTAGTGTTTATTCTTTACATTATTGGATAAATTTAAATCTATGGATAACTGAAGAATTAAATATACTATTGTATATCCATATGATTAGTTTGAATATGATTTTCATAATGCTTCTCTGGTGTTTTATAGTCATTTAAATAATTGATCCAGGAAGACCAAAAAAGTAAATTGACAGATTAAGATAGAGCAGATGAATATAGTTAATCGCCATTTTCAAAGAAAGGATTTTGTCAATAATGTAAATGTCCAAAACCTGAACGTTGCCATGTATAATTTCAAAAATATATTTTCAGCATTGCTCAATTTGTGATCGTTGTGTTTTATAAATGGATCATCATTGTCCATGGATAAATACATGTGTTGGTTATTAAAACAGAAAATAGTTCATATTGCTCTTATTTTACGCATTGTTATTTAATTTTATAACAATTGTAAGCACAACTAAAACTTATTTGCTTTCATTTTAATTTTCATTTTTAAACATGATTTATGCTTTGATTTGTATTGGTAATTATGTATTAGTATTTTTACTTTTTGGTTTTCTAAAATATCACATTGATTTATTATAAAAAAATCAAACTACACTAGAAGATTTAATTAGTAAAAACAATTAAATACTATTTAATCTATATGATATAGATCCATATACAAATTTTTGCTAGATATTTGGAGATAATAAAATTTTATGGTTATTTCCAATATATACTGCTATTGGATGTGATGATGGAAATTTATTTCCAAAAAATGAATATAAAGTAATGTAAACACCTTCTCCATAAGTAATTTCAGTGTAAGAATACAATTTTATAATAGTTTATATGAACAATAATAAATAAGCAGTGATAAAAATAAAAATGAGCATCCAATTATACAAACTATATATAGAAGAGAAATGGAGAAGTAAAAGATTAATGACATTATTAAAAATTGATTCACTCTCTAAATTAATTTTATTTCCCTTTCCATAAATTTAGATAAAACAACTCAAACTTAACAATTAATATCTTAAAAACTAAATTATTTAAATAAATAATTATTACTTTTATTTGCTTTTTAATTAATTCTAGATTAATCCTTTGATATTGAATTAATTAAAATTCTAAAAAGTAAATATAATGGATGATTTATAATAATTTTACAATAGTTTTTTTCAATCTTCAACAATAGTTCTAATTTTTATTATATTTTAATATTATACTAAGGAATATTTGATGTTAATGAAATATTATAATAGTTAATTTAAATTTTACTTGTTTTCTGAAAATTAAGCAGAAAATTTTTAGGTATAATTTTATAAGTATCTAACCAATCTTTAGAATAGAGATAATGTGAATCGTTTATAACAAATTTATTCTTAAAGTTATTAATTTTTAATTAAGCATTCTAAAGTCATTCCAAACACTTTTTCAAATTGTGTAGTTATTTATTAGTATATAGTATAATTTTAATAAATGATAAGATTTAATTATGAACTTGATAATTAAATTTATTGTTGCTATTAAAATAAATTATATTTATTTACTTTTATGAGACTTCAAAATAATTATATATAAAACTTGCATTAGGTAGCTGCAAGACTTAGTTCTAAATAATCAAATTAAAAATCTTTCTTAAATGAAAGTTCCTATATGTTAACCTAATAAAGCAATTTATCCCTCAATTAATCTTTTAACAGCCCAAAATTTATGTCAAATTAACAATCTTTTTTAATAACATAGCCTATTAATATAAACATGAGCAGTAGAGATACCACATAAAATTATAAATGTTATTCCCCAACAATTAGAACAAAAACTGAAAAATATGAAAATGTTGATTAAAAGCAATAATAATAATTTATTGAAGCGACAATAAAATTATTAGCATAAAGCGAAAAATTAGAAAAATTAATATCTTAATAAAATGAAATTCTATAAGTGGAAAGAAAAGATAAATAAGAATTGGAAATTACAATCAAGAGATTGACTTAAGAAATACAGTTTCTAAAGGAGACTCATAAAAAATAGGACTTTGTATTAGAAAATAAACTAAAATAAATCAAAGGAAAATCGTATCATCTTCCAAAAAAACTTTTCAAATGAATGTTTTATTATACAATTTTTTTATTTATAAATTTTATTTTATTATTTTAAATGAAAAGATCTTAGACTTTAATAATAAATGGTTTAATTAGATAATTCAGCTGTGAATAGGAATTATAATTATAAATTATTTTATCTTTTTTTATCAAAAATTTTATAAATCAAGTTCTCCTTATGAATATTAATTTCTTAATCATAAAAGTCTTATTAATAAATTTATAGCATAAATTGATTTATTTCATTATCTGCTAAAAATTCTTATTAATAAAAATATATTTATTAAAATACAATTATTATTTGGATAATTATCATTATATTTATGGGATAAATATTAAGCTCTTAATGTTGTGAAAAAAAGGTAGATCCACCTAAATCTTTGTTATAAGAAGGTCAACTTTTGAATTTAAATCAAGACTATTAATATTTTTTTAGTTAAGATTGGTTTGGTGTTGATAAACCTTAATTCGAACCATAAAAATTTATTTTTATTTATCCTGGTTATAAGGAAGACTAATCACAAATGGAAAAAGTATGGTAAAAGGCTGATACAATAAATTTAAGACATGGTGAATTAGTTAGATAAAAAGGAAAAGTTTTAAATAAGAAATGGCAATATTTATTCAGAAAGTAATTTATTGAATGATAAATAGAGGTGTTCCATGTTCCTTAGCTAAAAAAATAATATTAGATACTTTTAGATTAACTTATGTTGATTGTGAAGCAGAATATTTATCTGCTTTAAAGGTTGTATTTAAAAACAAATAAATTCCTAAAACCTTTAAGAATGTTCCTCTGTTTGGTTGCAATAATAATGAAGATGATGATGAAGAAGAATTTAATTACTTAAATGAGAGTGAGAAAAAAATCTAATTACTTCTTAAAGTTTAGATTTTAAATTAATAAGGAATGGAAGCATTAATTCGCTTACTTTGGATTGTAAATAATTTAAATCATTTTTTGGAATACAACCCAATGTTACTCCACATAATAGTTCTGCTTTTAATATTCTTAAGTGAAGCTTAGACTTATTGTGTATTGTAATTTATGATAAAAGATTCATAATAAAGTTTGAATGATAATTAGACAAAATAATAATTACGATGGCATTTAATAATGAATGAGGAACATTTTAAAGAGTAATTATTAAATTTATAACTAGAACAGCTACTACATTTTATGAAACTGTAAGTAGAAGGAGTAAAACATTTAATAATATTTATTCATAAATGTAAAATATTCAATTTGATTCATTTGAATTGTTTTAAGAGATGTCTATTAGTTTAATGTTAACTTATTTACCATTTTCTGCTGTTTTAAAAATATTCATCATTTATTTAAATGAAGGAATTAAGATATATTTTAGAATGTTTTATTCTGTTTTAAGATATGTTTAAGATGATATAAAGTCATGCAAATCAAGCTCTAATTTAAAAGCAATATTAAGAAAGAAAATAATGAATTTAAATATAGAAGAATAAAACAATATTATTAAACAAGCATTTAAATTAAGTTTAAGTGAAAGTGAACAAGTAAAATCTTTTATGAGAACTACTGTTTCATACACTAAAAATTAACCATGTTATTTGCCCATTCCATCTCAAGCATCAGATTTAATTACTAATGAATAGGCATTTATAGATATATGATATTTAGCTAGTTTGAAATATTATGGGATTGGATGTCAAATATATATAAATTAAGTGATCCATTTTTAATATTTGCATCAAAGACTGATGGACATTCATTAAAATAATTATATTTTAAATGTTAAGATTTTACAGATTATCCTGTTCTCTTAGTAATCTAAACAAATTAAAATATTGTACTTATTTTTATATTAAATTAATAGATATTTGGTGCTTTTTGTGATAAAATGTTTGAAATTAAAAATAAGTATGTTGGTTCACATGAAACATTTCTATTCACTCTAGAACCAGAAGAGAGAAAATACAATCCAACATCAGGAAATAAAGATTTTATGATGTGTGCTTCAGATTATTTAGCATTTGGAAGTGGAAAGTAATCATTTATTCATATTTTTAGGAATGGACCTGCTTTTTAACTTGATTCAGAATTAAATAGAGGTTTTACTTATCAAAGTGACACCTATGATAATCCATTATTTACAGATTAGAAAACTTAAAATAGATTCAAATGCTTATGTATTGAAGTTTATTATCTAAAATGATAATTTATTTATTATAAATGAAATATATATTGTTAGTTTTACTTTTGATTTTCACAGAAAGTTAATCTTAAGTTTTAGTAACACCAAGAATTCAATGCAGAACAAAAAAATGTGAAGGTGATAACTTTTGTTTTTAAGGTTATTGTACTCCTTGTGATGGCCCAAGAAGTATATGTATCTGATTTTATTCAATTATTTAAAGGGACTAAAAGAAAACCTTAATGGGGAACCAAAATAGGGGAAGCTCTAAATGTGCCTGCTTATTCTAATTATGGAGATCTTGATGTTTAAGACAAAAATAAAGATGAATATTTATTAGATTCTCAAATTAATTTTGGAGAAGAAATCTATATTGGATAGAAGTATAAAGATTGATATTTCTAGATATTAATGTGTTCATTATGCTAGAAGATTTTGGGTCTCTTAATATAATACAACATTTGGATCTGTTGATAGGGCTGAGTAAATATTTGATCTCTAAGAAGCATATAATTTTGACACAAAACAAAATATATAATTGAAGAAATTTTTGAATGGAGGCATTGAACCACCTTAATAGGGTGATTTATTGATTTGGTAAAAAGACAATGGAGAATTTCCATATGGACATGTTGCAGTTGTGATAGCTATTGATATTGTATCTGCTTCCCCTCATGTTTTGATTGCAGAATAAAATTACGATTAAGCATGGGATACAAGGAACTTTGCTAGAGCATTAAAAGTTTCAATAGGGGAAAATAAAGAAATAATTGTTTCCAACAATAGATAAACATTCCCAAATAAAGATGATTTAAAATGTAGAGATGATGAAATAACCTCACAAGGTGTCATTTTAGGTTGGGTTCGTTTAGAGATTTAATGAATAATTATATAAAATGCATTTTTAAATATTGATGTAAAATCTAATTATCATTCAGAAATATATTCATAGGAGCTGTGATTGCCATTTAACTAAACTGTGATAATCTATGTGATGGTGATCATTATTGCTATTTTAGTGAATGTTATTCATGTAATTAATTCAGAAAAGATTGTAAGAAAATAGAATAATCTTATAGGGGAATAATAAGTACCAGATTATGGAGTTATAATTGGTTATGGTAATAAGATACCTGCATATTCTTGCTAAAATGACACTTAGCATATAGCTGAACTTAAACATTATTTATAACCATAAGAATCTGGTTTAAATTAAACAGTTTATGTTGGAATGAAGTTCTTTATTTATATTTTCTAAATAGATATTAGTGTGTTCATTATGCAAGATATTATTGGATTTTGAAATATGGATCTGCATTTCCTGATGTTGACACAGCTGATCAAATTTATGAGCTAGATTTTGCATTTGATTATTAAAATGGAGGTAAGAGAAAGATTCTACAGTTTAAAAATGGAGGATAGGAAAGACCTTTACCAGGAGATTTATTAATTTGGAATAAGAGTTAACCAAATTATCCTTATGGACATGTTGCAGTAATTTTGGATGTTTAATTATCTGAAAATCAACCTTATGTTACTATAGGAGAGTAGAACTATGATGATATTTGGGATTCTTAATAATATGCTAGAAAATTAAAAGTTGCAAAAAATAACTTAGGAAATTATTACATTATTAATTAACGAGAGATAAGTAATTTACATCCATAAGAAAAATGTAAAGATTATAATGGAAGTGCATATGATGTTATTATTGGATGGGTTAGACTGATATGATATTTTAGTTAAATTAAATTATAATATAATTATTCATTATTAATATCTAGACTACTTTATTGTTGAAAGTACATAAATATATTATTTTTATCAAGAATTGCATTTTCAAAACTAAACATTTTAAAAATAATTAATAATTATCTTTTATTTTTTGTAAATATTTTACTTTATTTAATTTCTTTATTTTGAATAATTTAAGTTATAAAAAATTATTATTTAATAATATCAGTATAAATATGATGAATACTTATTTTAATAATTTCAGTCTGTACAATCATTAGCAAATAGGCTTAAGAAATCTTATCCTAATGAGGTCTGAAATGGGACTTTTACAGGAAGCTTAGCTTAATTTTTATTAATTGAAGAACTATTATTATATTTTATAACTATCTAAGGTTCATTGGCTCTAAATCCATGAGCTGATGTAATTTAATTATTTAGAGGGGAATAGGATAAATTTTAGAACCCAATGTTGTTAAATTTAAGATTAGCTGATTAAGGATGTTTATAGTTGATGTTAGTTTTTTCTAAAGTAATATAGTTTAAATACTTCCTTCATCAGTATGATATCCATCTTTGGATTGAAACTTATTAAGATTGACTTTATTATTCATTTTAAAAAAGCCAAGATCAAATTCATCAAGATCATCATTAAAATTATTATTTACTAAGATTATAGATAAAATTTCGTTTACTTTTGTCATCAATTTATGCATACATATTTTTAATGGGTATTTCATGATTAACTAAAGAACTAACAGGCTCAAAAGGTAATTCTAATCCTGTAGCCTTAGGAGGTGTTTTATGTCTTGAAGGAGGGCGATCATTATTATCTAAATTATCCATTGCTTGATCAGTAGGTTTTCTTCTTTATCCTGAACGGATAGAGTGTAAATCCTAGATAAAAGAAATTAATACCTTTGGTGAATTAAGAGTGTTGGTTATGGTTGGAATAATAACATTATTTTCAAAATCATCTTCTTAAATAATATTAGCTTAACAATCAAAGATCTAAAATTCAGAATCTTTTTTTTATGTTATATTTTGCTAAACTTCATTAGTTGAATTGGCAAATCTTTTTCTTCTAGCTCCTTCAGATGTTTATGGTCTGTTTAGAGTAGCAGTTGCTTTTCTCATGCTAATAATAGGTTCCTCTATTTATTTTTGAACAAATGATTTGTTCTTTTACATGTGAGGCTCTTCTTAATTTTAAGTTGGTAATTGTAAGTTATGATCTTCTTCACTGTCTGCTTCATTAGATTCATTTGAATTAATATCGACATTATCAACTTCCATGATTTCGACATCATCATTGTCTCTAGGAGTAAGTTATGGATCTTCATAATTATATGAAACAATATTGTCGCATTGTATTTTAGGTTCGAAAGTATTTAATTATTATGTTTATGGTCTGCTCTACTATTCACAAGAATGAAATGCTCTAGAGTTTTATTGAGTAAATGTTCTAGATGGTTTAAATGAAGTTTTTCCACTCTTTGGTATATCATCATACCTTTTTTCAAGACTCCTTCTCTTCATCATACCTTAAAATGAACCAGCATAGATTTTTGAGATCTATTAAATATTGTTTTAGTAACTTTTAGGAGGCTATCTACTTTAAGAAGAATGTTACTCACATTGTTTTTGTATATGGATTAGGTGCTTAATGAGAAACTGTGATCAATGGTTACTGATAAGGACTCTTTAGAGATAATTTATCTTTTCGAGATTGATTTGGTGCTGTTCCACCTCTTTTAGGATTCTCTCTAAGCTAAATTAACTTCTCATGTAAATACCCTTAATTAGCAAACCAACTTAAGTAAAATGGTTGTTATTATTACTCCTTCTAAATTTTTGGCTTAAACATATTATTAATTATGAAACCAAAATCCAAGAAAGAAATTCTAGCAAAACTAATGAAAAAAGTGCCAATCATTTAGGAACATAGATTGAAGTTAGACACTTATGTTAAACAACCAATTACATAGAGTCCTATTCATGTGACTCAAATGATGGTCTCAAGATAAACAGAAACAATTACCGATACTTCTACTATTTATCATATTATACCAGGATTCAAGGTTAATAATTAATCCACTTATAAATTATATGGTAATTCTGGGAGGAAGTATAAGGACAAATCTTATTCAATTACCAAATTTAAAACATAGCCTTCATTTTCATTAAATTCTACTATATCAAGGATTAATATTTCTCCAAGACCAATAAAATCATAGAAGTACAAAAAACATATAGAAACATAATATACTTTTAGAAAAAATACTCCTTGTCGAGCATTGATATTACAGTCTAATAATTAAAATTAATATAATTAGCCTTCTTATTGGAATCTTGATAGATGGAACACTAATGATGATAAAAATGAGAGTAAATCATTTATTTTTTGAAATATACTGCATCATCTTAAATAAATCTAATTTAATAATAAAATCAAATGAAAATTATCATTTCTATTGCACTTATACTTAATTATATTTACAAATGACTGAATACTGCAATCTAAATGCGACTGGGTTTTTACATACATGTGGGTAGTTTAGTTAATGCTAACTCAATACAAAAGGGTTTACAACATGTGTTCATGATCCACCATATACACCTAAAGCAGGTATTATTATATCCTATATCATCACACCAATTTTGATTGGGATTGGAATACTTGGAGGATTAGGAGGTAAGAAATATATCAATTCTTTAGGTGGAGTATTAAAAGGACCACTCTTAGAAATGATACTAAATTATTCTTAAAGTGAAGCTACCCACATTGCTTATTGTCTTATGTTTGGAGGAACATTATTAAATACGATATTATTAATGTTTGAAAAGTAATAAGTAATATTTAAATGATAGAAATCCTGAAGATTAAAGAAGACCCATTATTAATTACAGAATTTCAATAATTTTTAATCTTGCAGTTCCTTTTGCTACAAATCTAGGATCATCATTGGCTTCCTTTCTACCTTAATTATACACATTAATTCTATAAGAACTATTTTTATTTGCAGTTGCCCCTATATTGTGGAAAAAAGGTAAATTATAGAATGAATTACGTAAGCTCAGAAAGCTAAAAACGAAGAACTTTAAACTCCAGATAAACAAAAAAATGAAAGTTAGGCACTAAATTTGGATGGATCAAACACTTAATAAAAGATTGAACTTTAAAAAATAGAAGAATAATAAAATTCAGTATCATTAACTTCAATAAATGCTGAAAATAAGAAGGAAAATTCAAATACTCTCTATTATTAATTCAAATAAGAAACAGAGAATGTTTTACCAATAATGCCTGTAATATTTATTTTAGGTTCTTTTGGACTTAATTAAGTAATAATAATATTGTTGATATTTTAGATATTTATATAAATGAGATCTACAAATCCAAGTAAACCATCCTATGTTGGTATACAAGATTGTACATGGGAAAACGATTTCATGATTCTAATTTTAATTATTGCAAATGTTTTATTTGATTATATAGCTTGGAACTTTGGATCTCGTTAAGAGAAATATTTTGATTAATTGAACTATTTACCTAATGAAAGATATTTTACTCCTATTAGTAGATTCTTCAAAATATATGCAGGAGGATTTGGAGCTGGTTTTGTATCAGGATTTCTTGGAATGGGAGCAGGTTTTGTAATGGTTCCAACTTTACTTTATAGTGGTTTGATTCCAAGATGTGCATCTGCTACTTCAGCATTTATATATTTCATGATATCTTTAAATAACTTAATAACTTTACTTACTAATCATTATTTAGATTAGTAAATGATTTTGTTATTTACAGGATTAGCAGTAATTTAATTGTTTATGTAAGGTTATAGGTGGGTCTGTGATTACAAAAATTGGATACATTTTATTAAGCAAATATAAAATTGGTTACACAGTTATCTTGATTGTCTTTGCATTAGATATAGCCAATATTTTTTCATAAATCTATTATGGTGTTGTGTTTGGTATGAGATATGGTTTAGATTACTTAACAAAAGCAAATATAGTATGCTAAAAATAATGATTTTGAATTAAAAATATATCATATTTATTCAAAAAAAGTGTTAGTTTGGTTTTCTTAATCTTTTTTACATTTCTGATTATTGTGATAATCTTGAAGAATGATCCATGAATCCTGAATAAGGTCTAAATACATGAGATGATTTAGCCATTGTTGATCTTGATTAAGGGGTTTCACATTTTGGTGTTTCAATAAATTAAAAATATCCTTAAGAAGGATTATGTAATTAATGTAATTGTTATGAAGTTCTTGGTGTTGCAAAAAATGAAGTTATTGTTCTAGTTTTATCCAATTTTTTTTAGGAATTTAAATTTCCTTTATTATCTTTGTTTGAGTTTAATGAATTAATCTGAAGTATTGGATCTTTTTGGCCATAAATTAAACTAGTTGATCTTCGAGTTTTTAATTGTTTATGTGTTTTCTCAACTAATTTAACAGCTGAATTAACTCTAGATCTTTAAATTGCCTCATGGTTTTAAGGAGCAATTCTAAGAGGAGGTTTAACCAATCCAACTCTAATTAAATTTGAATAGTATTATTTCAAAAAACCCTCTGAATTAACATTAGAAGCAAAACTGTATGGATTTTCAACTTTTTCTAAAATTTTAATTTAAGGTTCTTTGCTTTATTTTGTTAATTAAACAAATTCATTTATAGTTATCTTTTTAGATTTCTTTTCCTCTTCACCAAATTGATCCAATACATTCTTATTGTATTTTAATACTCTACTATGTTTTGGTACCTAAATTAAATAAGTGTTTATATATACTTAATATTACTAAAATTATATATCAACCTTATCATATGATTTTATTGAATCTTTTGCTAGAATTAAAGTTGATTATGATTTCTTTTATTAATTATTAGGAGAAGTACATAATTATTATTAATCAAATGGTTTACTTCCCATCAACAAACGTATCAATTATTTTTCTACAATAATTTTTAAATATTAATACACTTATGA